TTAAATAATTTTTAAGGTTTTTTAGCCATTTTTTGTGGGCGTGGCTTGGCCAGAAAAGGGGCGTGGCCTCACCTATTGATTTATTCCATATATGGAACGGGTTGGGCGTGGCTTCTTCTTAAAGGGACCTCACCCCATTTTAATTTCTGTTCATTTTTTACCCTTTTTGGTGTTTTTTAAATCAACTTTAGTGGGCGTGGCTTGGCCCAGAAGGGGCGTGGCCTCACCTATTGATTTATTCCATATATGGGCATGGAGTGGGCGTGGCTCTTTCTTAAAGGGACCTCACCCCATTTTAACTTCGGTTCTTTTTTTTTTTACCCTTTTTGACTTTTCCCCCCAATTTTTTTTGTGGGCGTGGCCGGTCCGGGGTGGGCGTGGCTTGCTGGCCACGCCCCTCCCGGCTGACCACGCCCCCTTTTTAACCCCACAGTGGCCGTGGCTTACTCGGAGCTGGTGTCGTACCAGCAGCGCCACGACGTGAATCCGCTCCGGGGTTTCCTGGTGCCCCTCGTGCAGGTTTGGATCAAAAAAAAACCCCCAAAAATATTTCGGGAATCATCCCAAAAAATTTGGGAATTGCTACAAAAAATCAGGGAATTGTCCTGAAAATTAACCCCGAAAATATTGGGGAATTTACGTGAAAAATGTGGGAATTAAATCAAAAAATAATCTGGGAATTAACCCAAAAAATTGGGGAATTTAGGGAGAAAAAATCTCGGAATTGTCCCGAAAAAATCTGGGAATTGTCCCCAAAAAATTCTGGGAATTAACCCAAAAAATCTGGGATTTAACGCAAAAAAATTTGGGAATTAACCCCAAAAAATCTGGGAATTAACCCAAAAATCTGGGATTTAACCCAAAAAATTTGGGAATTAACCCAAAAAAACTGGGAATTAACCCAAAAAAATCTGGGATTTAACCCAAAAAAATCTGGGAATTAACCAAAAAAATCTGGGATTTAACCCCCAAAAAATTTGGGAATTAACCCAAAAAAATCTGGGATTTAATGCAAAAAAATTTGGGAGTTAACCCAAAAAATCTGGGAATTTAGGGAGACAAAATTCGGGAATAGTCCCGAAAAAATCTGGGAATTGTCCCCAAAAAAATCTGGGAATTAACCCAAAAAATCTGGGAATTGACCAAAAAAATCTGGGAATTGACCCGAAAAAATCTGGGATTTAACCCCCAAAAAAATTGGGAATTAACCAAAAAGATTTGGGAATTAAACCAAAAAATCTGGGATTTAACCCAAAAAAATCTGGGAATTAACCCAAAAAAATCTGGGAATTAACCCAAAAAAAATCTGGGAATTTAGGGAGAAAAAATCTGGGAATTAACCCAAAAAATCTGAGAATTAACCCAAAAAAATCTGGGAATTAACCCAAAAAATCTGGGAATTTAGGGGGAAAAAATTCGGGAATAATCTCAAAAAAATCTGGGAATTGTCCCCAAAAAATCTGGGAATTAACCCAAAAAAAATTGGGAATTAACCTAAAAAATCTGGGAATTGTTCCCAAAAAATCTGGGAATTAACCCCCAAAAAAATTGGGAATTAACCAAAAAAATCTGGGAATTAACCCAAAAAATCTGGGAATTTAGGGAGAAAAAATTCGGGAATAATCTCAAAAAAATCTGGGAATTGTCCCCAAAAAATCTGGGAATTAACCCCCAAAAAATCTGGGAATTAACCAAAAAAAAATTGGGAATTGTTCCCAAAAAATCTGGGAATTAAACCAAAAAATCTGGGATTTAACCCAAAAAAATCTGGGAATTAACCAAAAAAATCTGGGATTTAACCCCCAAAAAATTTGGGAATTAACCCAAAAAAATCTGGGATTTAATGCAAAAAAATTTGGGAGTTAACCCAAAAAATCTGGGAATTTAGGGAGACAAAATTCGGGAATAGTCCCGAAAAAATCTGGGAATTGTCCCCAAAAAAATCTGGGAATTAACCCAAAAAATCTGGGAATTGACCAAAAAAATCTGGGAATTGACCCGAAAAAATCTGGGATTTAACCCCCAAAAAAATTGGGAATTAACCAAAAAGATTTGGGAATTAAACCAAAAAAATCTGGGAATTAAACCAAAAAAATCTGGGAATTAACCCAAAAAATCGGGGAATTTAGGGAGACAAAATTCGGGAATAATCTCAAAAAAATCTGGGAATTGTCCCCAAAAAATCTGGGAATTAACCCAAAAAAATTTGGGAATTAACCTAAAAAATCTGGGAATTGTTCCCAAAAAATCTGGGAATTAACCCCCCAAAAAATTGGGAATTAACCAAAAAAATCTGGGAATTAACCCAAAAAATCTGGGAATTAACCAAAAAAATCTGGGAATTGTCACAAAAAACAAACAAAAATCCCCAAAAATTCCCAAATTTTTGTGGATCCTTCCCTGATTTTTGGGGGATTCCAGACCCAATAAATCCCTCGAAAATTCAAATAAAATCCCTTAAAAATCAAGGAAAAAACGGCAAAAAAATCAGGAAAAACCCCCCAAAAAAATCAGAAAAAAAATAAGAAAAATTCCAAAAAAATTGGGAAAAATTCCCAAAAATTCCCAAATTTTTGTGGATTTTTCCCTAAATTTGGGGGATTCCAGACCCAATAAATCCCTCAAAAATCCAAATAAAATCCCTTAAAAATCAAGGAAAAACAGCCAAAAAATCAGGAAAAAATCAAAAATAAATCATAAAAAAAATCCAAAAAAAATCAGAAAAAAAATCCAAAAAAATTGGGAAAAATCCCCCAAAATTCCCCAAATTTTGGGGATTTTTCCCTAAATTTTGGGGGTCTCCCAGACCCCCCTTTTTGTCTCTTTTTTCCTGGCCCTGCAGGGGATGGCGGCGGCGCCGGTGCCGTGGTTCCTGCAGGGGGGGATGGCTTGGTTCCCCAATTTGGCGGCCCCTGACCCCCTGTACGTGCTGCCCGTGCT